ATTTGTCTAATGGTTTATCAGCATTTTGTTCTTCACTTCGATCTCAATTCAGCTTATAACCAATCTCTATCATTTAACATATAAATATTACATACTTATTTATATATATTTCAAAAATGATGGCATATGACAGCAATCTCAATAAGTGAAATAGCTGAGATGGGATAAGAGAGTCCAAGGTTAGTCTAGGTTATATTCCAAGACCCTGTCTCAAAAGCAAACCAATCAACGAGACAAACAAACCCCAAACAAGAATATATCTCATTAAACTCAGTAAGCCAGTTATCAATTCTAGGAAAATGTACTTTTTTCTGCTCTTCTACCCAGGCCACTGAGTAAAGCATCAAAAAGCATGTCCACTCCTGAATTTACTATAAACTAATTGTTTCAAGTGTTAAATGCCTAACTATAAGTTGCATGAAGAATTCTTAGTACAAAAAAGAATAACATGCAAAATCCAAATTTAAGATTTGTGCTTTATATCCTTACAGCAAGGCATAGAAAAGTTATTAACTCACATTATCACATTTATAAAGGAATTGCATATAAAATATGCTCTTAAAATATTTTAAAACTCACTGAGTAGAGTATATCTAAACTCCAATGCCCAAAAGATTGAAATAAACATTTAAAAAAGAAGCCATGTATCTATTAAAAATACTTATAAGAGAAAACTATTATTATCTTACATTCCCAACAGGAATGGTACTCTGTGGCAATTTGGTTATTTTTGTTTGTTTGTTTGTTTGTTTGTTTATTTGTTTTTCGAGACAAGGTTTCCCTGTGGCTTTGGAGGCTGTCCTGGAACTAGCTCTTGTTGACCAGGCTGGTCTCGAACTCACAGAGATCTGCCTGCCTCTGCCTCCCGAGTGCTGGGATTAAAGGTGTACGCCACTAACACCCGGCACTCTGTGGCAATTTGGAAGATAGGAATTTGTTTAAAAACTGAAACAAATTTGTCATAAGACCTAGACATTAAATATCTAGGTATCAATCAGGGTGAAATAAAACACAACCCAACACAGATCTACCATGAATGTTTACAGCAGTATTATTCTAAATGGTTGGAGTATGGGAATAATAAAATTATCCACCAGCTGGTGAATAAATAACACACTATACCATTGATATCCATTTAATGGTATATCACTTGTCAGTAAAGAATAAACTAGTGAGATATACTGCATGTTTGAACCTCAGTAGGATACTTAGTGAAAGAAACAACAGGTCTAAGACTATGGACTGTAAGAACCCATTCATGTGAAGTGTACAGGAAAGAGAATTGTGTAAACTACAGCACAAGTGTAGTTGACTATGATTGATTATCTGAGTAGAGCTTGGGAAAAGACATTAGGGACCTTTCTGGGGTAAGGGAATATTCTATAACTGGTTATGGGCAGTATTTGTATATATTTACTAAAAGTCACTCATGTGTACATTGATATTGGGTAATTTTTGTCCCATAATTTTGATCTCAATGAAGTCAGTATCATTTTAGCTAAGCTTTCAATATCTCTCTAGAAAGATTTTATCTTTAATATTTTCACTAACATTCAGCCATAATTGTAAATTTGGACTGATTTCTTAGTACTCTAACCTCAATTTTCCACAGCAGTTGAGTTTCTACAGAGGAACAGAATTAGAAACTCCAGGTATTTTCCCATCCTTTTATACTAATGTTAACAGCACTGTTTCTATTCAAAACAACTACCTCTCCTTTCAGACACCCTGCTTGTCTGTCCAGACTTCTACAACAAAATACCACAGACTTAGTGGCTTTAAAACAGCATCAATTTGTTTCTCAATTGTAGAGGCTGGAATAACAGAAATCTTTGAGCCAGCAGATGTGGTATCTGCTGAGGTCTTGCTTTTCATCATAGACAGATTTATTTATTTATTTATTTATTTATTTATTCATTTATTTATTTATTACTTCACATTGAAAGGGATAGTTAGCTCTCTGGAGATTTGCTTTTCTAGGGAAATAAATACATTCATGATCCTAGTCTCATGATCTAACATATTTCTAAGACCCCATATCCAAATATCAATAGAGGAAGTATAGGTATCAAATCTATAGAATATCTATAATCTCTTTCCAAATTCTTCTAGTATCCTACATATGAAATCTCCCCCCTAGTTCAGTAGATCTCAAACTTACAATGCTGTGGCTCTTTAGTATAGTTCCTCGTGTTTTAGTGATCCCCAGCCATGAATTTATTACCTTGCTACTTCATAATTATAATTTTGCTGCTGTTATGAATTATACTGTAAATATCTGATGTGAAGGATATCTGATATGCAACCCCCAAAGGGACCACAACCCATGGTTGAGAAATGCTGCCCTACTTTGTCCAGGAATTCATTATGCAAGCTCAGATACTTGCATATCTATGATGGTTAATTATCACTGTCAATCTGGATTAAGGAGCAAGGCAACATGAAGCACACTTGTGGATATGCCCTTGAGAGCTTTTCCATGGGAACTCAGATCCTCAGAACTCTGTTCTCATGCATGAATTCATCACTCTGTGGATTTATGTGATGCCATTTGTAGGCAGTTGTGAAAAGGAGAATGTGGGGCCTCTTCAAGAATACAACTGGGGGATGGGAGACATGTCTTTTGGTGCTGGTCCTTTGCCTGGTCTCTTCCTCTGTCACTACTGCTTCTTTCTGGCCCTAATAAAATGCTCTGTTATGACTTTCTTGTCAAGATAGAAAGCACACTCTGAAACCATAAACCAAAATAAGTTTTTCCTTTATTAAGATGCTTTCCAGTGAGGAAAAGGCAACAAAATTAATCTCCCAGAGAGAGCAGAGCAACTCAGCATCATCAGCTGTAGTTTTTACATTGGTTCAAGAGAATTCATTTTAAAATACAATGATGGTATATGCTTTTGTTTTGACATTTAAAAATGAATTGAAATGAGAAAAAACAGAGTATGATTTATTACTCAAATGACTAGGCATGACACTCTTCCTCCTTTATTTCTTGTTATTCCTATGTACTTCATTACTATTATTTTTCTACTGTTATGGATTGTAATGTAAACATCTGTGTTTTCTGATTGCCTTCTGTAGCTTCCATGAAAGGGTTATTCAACCCTCAAAGTGGTCTTGACCCCACAGGCTGAGAACTGCTGCTATAATGTATACACAGAAAACCTGGTGCAGACCCCTGCAAGCCTGATGCTTGCTACTTCAGTCTCTGTGAGCTGATATGGGCCTTTCTCAGTTGATTCAGAGGGCACTGTTCTCTGGATGTCCTCCATTTCCACTTATCAAACTTTTCTATGCGTCTTTGTTCTTCTTACAATTCCTCTGATCTCCATCCCCCACCCAGGTTATGTGTCAGAACATCTCAGAATTTTTAAAAGAACATGTTTAAGTTATACTGTGTTTTCAAGTCTTTATACACTAGCTATCCAATTTATTTCTTGAATATCTCCAACTTGTCTCAATGACTACACATATTCTCTAATCACAGGTGACAAAGGACAGAGAGTTATGATGGGTTCATACAGAAAGTATAGGAACTGTCATAGATTGAAGCAATACTATACTTTAAACACACCATGGCTAGATACTGAAAGCCCTGTTTTTTTTTTTCTAGAGGGGTATTCATTTTCAATTTAGTAGCAAGAAGTATTTAGCTATTCTTTACTGCCTACCCTTATTTTAAACATTTCTTCAAAAATGAATCTGCAGAACTAACCATAAATAATTTGGGGGCAGGAAAGATGGCTCAGTGGTTAAGAGCACTAGTTTCTCTAGTGCTTTTAACATAAGTTCAGTTCCCCATTTGGGGCTCATGAAGATCTGTAATTCCAGCTCCAGTGGATCCGATGCCCTTTTGTGACCTCTGTGTGCTCCGTGGTGCATAAACAAACATGAAACTCCATGGTCTGAGATAGAAATTAGTTTAGATTGTTCAAAGGATGCCAAAAAATATCCAGGGGTTACAGATGAAGTTAGTGTAATATTCAGTGACAAGATACATCTGAAAAAATTCTGAGTGGAGAGGGGAGACATGTTTTCACACAAAGAAGTGTGCACACACTGAGATACTATGCAGACTGGGATAATGGGTGGGGAAAGGTGAGAGCTGAGGTTGCTCTTATCTCTAACATGATTTAAGGTATTGATAGAGAATGAGTCAGAAGAAACAAAAAGCTAATATCAGAATCTGCTACATCACTTTTGGGTACAGCTGTAAAAAATACATTAACTTGTACACAATCTTATTTCATAATGCAGCTATCTTAAGTTGCAAGAGGTTGTCTTTATCATAAATGACCAACTAAAGAACTCTTCTATGTATTGGTATTACTTATAGGAAGGTGTAATCTTGCTCAATAAAATAAAAATGTGGAGTGAAATGCTAAATATATCAGGGTCAGAAATACATTTTATGTTAGTTTTCAAAGATGCTGATCCCGAATGCCGATGATCCAGATAAAAGTCAACAGAACAGCTCCAGTAAAAAATAACTATGTATGATGCACACACACACACACACACACACACACACACACACACACACACACACACATCCTCCTTAAGGAACTGGAGTTAATGGAGAACAAGATGCTAGCCTAAAGCAAGAGTGGCATGTCTTCAAAGTACTCTCAAGAGGACCATCAAGCTCATTGTACTTGTTGTTATTGATGGTTTGCAATACATTTTTATACTTTTATAATTAGCCTCTAGGTAAATCTAAGTGCATCTGAACTGATGGAAAAACATTAGTAATGTTTTCTTTTTCAATGAGGAAAATAAGTAAATGCCTTTAAGTTTTCTCTTATAGAAACTGGAATTTTAAGTGCTTTCTATCAACAATATATTTTTTCAGTATTACCAACTATATTCTAGCAAATGAAACTGTCTTTGTTTTCAAAATACTGAAAAATAGAAGTTATAGTTTATACAGCAAATCTCTTGTGACCTTATTTATGAAATGGCTTTATGCACATCAGCATCTTCCATGCTGACAGAATTACCTGTCTGCATCCACTGTCACATCATGAACTCCTCGCTGGATGATATCCCTGGAAGTTGCTGTGTCTGGTACTCGGTTCAGACTTCTAGTATATAGGTTGAGCCCACCATCTGTCATGTATCTGAAAAGAATTGCCAACATGACATTATCAACAGAAAATTAAATGACCTTATCTACATGACTTAATAAACTTACTATAATGTGAATTTTCAACAACTACTCAAAACAAAGTCTATTAAGCCCCTTCATATAAAAATACTCTCATCAGAAAGAAGTAAAACTTACTTTAAAATAATATTTTCTTTAACACATCAGTAATGTTTTACCTATTATTTTCTTTTCTTAACTGTATTTTAACAAGTTTGGAAGTCATATATCTTGTACCAAATAAGATAGAGGTAATTTTATTGGTTAAATGACATTTTTACTAATTGAAGTTCATAGAATTAATGAAACGTTACTAAAATTAATTTGTTAGATAAGTAAGTTATGCAGTAACTGGTACTTCCATAAAATTGTAACAAAAATGTACGGAATGTCCCATATGTCATTAGGACCTATTTTTTTGTGTTAATTTATTTTTCAAGACAGGGTTTTCCTGTGTAGTTCTATCCTAGAACTTACTCTGTAGACCAGGGTGGCCTCAAACTCAGAGATCCACCTATCTCTGACTCCCGAGTACAAGGATTGAAGGCATGTGCCACCACTGCCCACCTTAGGACCTATGTTAAGTCATTTGTGTATATCAACAAAGCTATCAACATTTTGAATGAGGAGTACATATGCCTCAATATTTAATAGTTTCTCTCCCTACAGGTATCCTCCCCCACTATGTCCTTTTTTCTAGTTTCCTGGACCCTGTAGGTATCCCAAGTTAAATATACAATTTAAAGATTTGAAGCTGGTATATACATATGAGACAGGTTACCTCCACACACACACACACACACACACACACACACACACACACTTCCAATTTCATCCATTTCCCTACAAATTTCATAATTTTTAATAGCTAAATATCCCATCGCAAAGTATATGTAACATTTTTCATTGCTGACTCATTAGTTTTTAGATGATTATAGTCAGTTTATAGAATGATGGCATTTTCTAGCTATTACAAATAAGGTAGCAATGAACATGAAAAAATGGTTTTGGAAGATTTCCCCCCAAATAAAAAATTTTGGATGGGTAGTATAGGTGGAAGGGTTAGGTATGAAATTCCCAAACAACTAATAAAAATACAAAACAATTAAAAATGTGGATAGCTACTGGAAGAAGAATGGAATAACTTTTATATTACTCACTCTGCAAAATAATCAGCTCAAAATGGATCAAAGACCTTAACTTAACTAAATATAGGCTGGAAAGATGGCTCACCTGGTAAAAGGGCTTGCTGCAAAGCCTGAAAAGCTGGCATCCAACGTGGCAGGAGAGAAAGGCTGTCTACCCTCTGAGTAGACATATGCCCACAGGTGATGGGGGAAATACTTCTGTGTATGTTTATCTTTTTGATTGTTAAATAAAATACTGTTTGGCCAATGAAAAGGCAAGTTAGGCAGGACTAGGAGTCAAAGAGGATCTTGGGAAATGTAGTAGAGAAGTGCTGATCCATGCAGGAAGTGACATAGCAAGGAGACTCATATTTAAGCGAAGGAGAAACAGGAAGGGCCCTCTTTTCCCCTCTGCTCCTGCTCCAGTGGCACGATGTGATCCAATAGCCAGGAGGGACACCAACAAGGCATCCAATAAGATAAGTCTTATAAAATACATAGATTTATGATAATTAAGACTGAGCTAACAGATGAGAATCCTAGTCATTGGCCAAGCAGCATTGTACCTAATACAAGTTTCTGTATATTCATTTGGGTCAAACTCAGGAGGATGGCTGGTGTAAAGCTCACACATGGTAGTGAGGCTCAGGCAACTTTTGGCGGAAAGATTTATCGTACACTTATAAACATGCACACGTAAACATACATATACATACACACAAATGCACTCACACACACACACACACACACACACACACCACACATACACACACATACAAACATACACACACACCACACAAACACACATAGAGACACACACATACACATAAACACACATAAACACATAAACACACACACACACACACACACACACACACACACACACCACAAACACCCACAAAGCAAACTAAATAAATGTAAAACCTTCAATGTTGAAACTTCTAGAGTAAAAACTAGGCAAAGACTTCAAATTACAGGGATAGGTAAGAATTTTCTTAAGAGGACTCCTGTCGCACAGGCAGTAACCATAAGAACTGACAATAAAAAAAAAAGTGATGTGTGGAGAATAACAGAATAATGAGACAGGAAAATAAAACTAAATGATTTCAATGGAACTGTATAACTGCAATGGGGTATATAGGGAGTTAGAGAAACATTGCAGGTGGGAGGAAGGGAATCAACCAAACTAAACGTGTGCAAAAATGTCATAAGAAAACTAGTTACTTTGACCAAGTGTGGTGATACTTGGTTTGTGCTTTAACAAATAAATCTTGCCTGAAGATCAGAGGGTGGAACTAGCCATTAGTTAACTAGAGAGGCTAGGCAGTTGTGGCACACACCTTTAATCCCAGCACTTGGCAGGTGGAAACAGGAAGATCAGGAGTTCAAGTACACACTGGGCTACGTGAGATTTAACCCGTCTGAAACAGAGCTTATAACTTCAATCCCAACACTAGGGAAATGGAGACAGGAAGTGATATGGCTGGGTGGAGAGAGGAATATAAGGTAGGAGGAGACAGGAGCTCAGGCCTTTTATGGTTTGAGGATTTTGTAGAGGTAAGAACATTAGTGGCTGGCTCCTTTACTCTCTGATCTTTCAACTTTTACCCTGATAACTGACTACATTTTTATTTTTTACTACTAAGACCAATCAGGATCAAGTTACACCCACTAATTAAAACAATATATTTTCAAAAAGAAATTGCTCTTGACATTATTGTGTAGGTTAAATATGTGTAGCTTATTTGTTTGTTTTTAGGCATGGTCTCACTCTGCATCCTCACCTGACTAGAACTCTGTAATTCAGGGTAATCTTTATCTCATGGCATTCCTCCTGCCTCAGCTTCCTGATGAATACAGACAGGATCTATTTTAAAACCTTGGGGTTTGTTTATACTATTTTCACCTTTATTAGCACACTGTTGAACTTGATTCTCTATAGTGCTCCAAAATACTAGCTGTGTGAGTTCTGAAAATTCCAATTGTCTATGACAACTGCTTCAGCTGCAAAATGGAAATGGTAGTTTACCATAATAAACTTACTTCTGGCTATGTTGAGTTAGCAAGGATAAAAATAACATGTTGGCTATATGCATATGTATGTGAATAAGCATATATATGAATGTGTATATGTGTATATATGTATTTGTACATGTATGCAGCTGTATATACATTTGTGTGCATAGTGTGTATCCTGGAATAGCACTGTGTGAATAGTGATTAGTTGGCAGCTATTTGTTCTATGAAAACTGGCTAGTACTTGAATACGAAATTGAAGAAACAGTCATTGTTGGGAATGCATGAGTTCACATGAAAGACACATTCAAGATCTAGGGCCTTTCAGTTTCTGTGCCCATTCAATCACCCCAAGTTGTTAGGACAATTGAGGGAGAAGCATAGCAGGGCTAAAGTATATTTCACTTCACATTTTTCAATCTTGTCCCTCAGAAATATTCATTTTTTCATGTTTGGGTTAAATGGCTTAAATAGAATTTTAACACTTGGTCATCTGCACAGAACTACTGATCATTGTGATATCTAAAGATAACTTCAGTTTCCACCCAGTTAATACATGTAACTTTTCTCTCAATTTTTCTTTAGTTGCTTTACAAATGTACCTTTCCAACTCATTAAAAGTAAGAGCTCTTCCTCTGACTAATTCCTAATTACTGACGGCTTCACATTCCCAAGCGTGTGAAGTAATTTCAAAAGGAGAAGTCTGAGATAAAGAAGCTGATACATGCTTTAAGAAATGCTGAATTCTGAGAATACCAACTAAGTCATCTTTATCATTCTCATCCAGAAAACATGAAAAACACAACTTCATTCTCATTTGCCTTATGACATTCCTAGTGGTGTGGCTAAATAAAACATTTCTTTAGACATTTAAACAGCAACTTCCCATTAAGTCTTTTGTTCCTTTAATCAGCAAAATATACTTGGAAAATTGTGAAGAGCAAGCAAGTTTGTGATTCAATTTTTTAAATGAGGTATAGTTTACACATCACTTGAAGTGCTATCAAATTAAAACTTTCTTGGGCTACCTCCAATCTTCTCATCTATCCCACATTTCAATTCTACATTGAGCTTTCATCAGTGACTTACTACATACTCTGAAGTGTCTCCACAGAATGTCCTCCCATCAGCCTCTAGCTGAGACCAGTCAGATTCCATGTAGAGCATGATCAGTTACCTTTCACCTAGAGTACAGAACTTGGCCATGCTTTAAAACCCAGTCTCAGTGTTCTCTATGCCACAACAGGACAAAGGTTTCAAACTGAAACTCCTTAAACATAGGCAAGAGCAAAATTGCTCTTTTGATACAACTTGGATTCATAAAACATGTAGCTCACTGACACACATATAGTTGGCTTCCTAAGAACAACTGGTGGAGACAAAAATAAAAGGGACAAGAAGTGTGAACGAGGCTCCAAATGAAAAAGGAAACAAGTCAAGTAGGATAAGAGATCTAAAAACATTGCTTTTTCCTCAGTAGGCAACTCAGTACGGGTGACAGCCAGCTATCATCAAATTAGTTTCCCTTTTCTGTAAGGGGCACAGCTAAGCCATGTTTTCTTGCTTCTTATAAGAAACTGTTGTCCTGAAGGTACACTGGACATGAGTGTAAGTAGAAGTAAATCATAAAACTTTCAGGACTGTCTTAGACAAAATATTCTCCTGCTGTATTTTCTTCCTTTCTTTTGCTATTTGTCAGCTTAATGGTAATGGTCAGGGTGATATTGGAAACATGATTATATAAGAGCAGAATTATCAAAATTCTTATTCTCTAAATGATTGTGGTTTATGGTCCTCATGTAAAGATCAAAAAGATCAGGGTCAGAGCCAGCAAGATGACTCAGTGAAGACATCTGCTGCTGAAGCCTGAGACCCTGTGATGGATTACCAGGACTCACTTGGGAGGTAGGAATGAACCTGATTCCTGAAAGTTGTCCTCTAGTCTCTACCTGTGCACCATGGCATGTGTTTACCTATAGATATGTATACATGCACACATGTAAAATAAGCAAGTAAAATGTAATGAAAGAAAAAGCCAGGGCTGTTTTACATGACAGAGAAATGTGCTCCATTGTCATGGTACTAAGATTTTGAGACTTGTCTAAACACAAATAAATGTTAGCTAACATAATCATAAGCCTAGAAAATATAGGATGGTCCTGTGGGTTTGGATGCTTATAATATCTATCATATGCAGAACACAGTTGTGTATGGGCATATGTAGGGAGACACTGTAGCCCTGCCTCCTAGTAGCCCCTACAGGTGTGTGGGCCTCATGGGCGTGGTCAGGGGAGGTCAAAGATGAGGCGGGGTGACAATTCTTAAGAGGCCGCAAACATGTGGAGCTCCCCTCTCTCTGGCCACTCTAGCTTGCGGCCTCTGGGCACGCTCTGGCTTTCGTTTGGGCTGATGTTTATCTAAATAAAGAAATCATAGCATTACCACCTACAGATCATCTTTGAGTGCATGCAATAGGCATATATGGACAAACACAGATTTGTGTCTAAATAAATATGTGTACTATTAACCCATTGAAAAGGGGGCACTCAAAATTCATAATTATAATTATAAGAGTAGCGTTTCTTTGATTATACTTATTAATTCTCTCTGCCATTGTATATACACATTTCTTAGCGTATGTGTGGATATCAGAGGACAGCCAGTAGGAGTCAATTCTCTCCTTCACCAAGACACTAGGCATTGAACTCCACTGCAGCTTGGTGGAAAGTGCTTTTACCTGCTGAGACATCTCACCAGCCCACGATTACTTTTCATAGAATGTCCTACTGATTTCAAAGCACATCATCTGATTAAACCAAGTTGTTCAAGTGGCCAAAACACATTAATAAGTTTAGAATCACAAATGATTATTTTTGGAATATAATAGGAAAAAGAAAGAAAAGACCACATTATTGTAAAGTCTGAAAACATCAATAAAGAATAAGTCAATCAGTCTAAATTTTCAACCCTGGGAATGTAGAGACAGGTGAAAGGATAAAGGAATCTACTGCCAGCGTCATGATGTGAGTTAGATCCCTGGGACCCACACGATGGAAAGAGATAACTGACTGCTGCAAGCTGTCCTCTGAACTCCACATTTTCACCATTGTATATACAAGCCCACACACATACACACAAACCAGGAATAAACAAAATGCAATCAAAACCTTAGAAACTCTTCAACTCTGAAATATTTTCCCTGCAATTAAACTGGATGCTCTTGAATGAACAATGCCACAAAGTATTTATTCCTCAAGGCAGTGAGAGAGAGAGGCAGCCAGACCAAAACCAGAAACCCAAGCAGTTCAGAAAAACTTCTACTTCCTTCCCATACCCAAAGTAACTATAAAATCTGTTACTTAGGAACATGTAAGACTACTATTAAAAATACAGGCCATATGTATTTCTCTAGACTAGTGGTTCTCAATCTTCTTAATGCTATGGCCTATACTGTGGTGACTCCCAACCATAAAATTATTTTCATTGCTACTCAATAAGTATAATTTAGCTACAGCTATGAATAATAATGTAAATGTGTTTTCCAATGGTCCCAGGCAAGTCCTGTGAAAGAGGGTCATTGAGAACCACTGCTGTAGATGAACAGCAGAGAAACTTAATGACTTATCAAAAGAATCTTTAGAAACCTTTAGTATTTTACTTTCTATGAATGAGCAGAAGAGGTCCTGACATATCACAGATCATGTCAGAGTACCAATGCTTTCTAATGACCTAGGTGGCATCTATGTCCTCTTCACAGATAACACATCCTCACACATCCCTCCTGGACAAACAATGTTGCCATACTCAGGGCCACTTACCCACTGTTGATGTCATCAGCTCTCAGACTCTTCCCAAGGATATCACCATCACTCATGTATCCACCAACATCCACTTCAGAAGACATGTCCATGTCACTGCTTGCTTTCTCACTCATATCTATTTGTGACATGTTTCCCAAACGAGAGACAGCAGCTCTCCGGAGAGGTGTTGTGTACATGAACCTGGACGGATCTGTGTGGATGAATCGGCTGGTACCACTTCGAGGATATCCAGCACCCATGGAAGGGGCATCCCCAGCCTGAAGACGAGGACATGCCTGCCCCAGTCTCCAGGTCATGGGAGTTGGTCTGCTTGTCAGGTTGGGGATGGTCCTTCCATTTACTTCAGTTGTCACCGTAGTATCAAACGTTGTCTCCAGGGTGCTGTCAAACACAATGGAGAGGTCACTAAACTCTGGTTCACTAAGGCCACACACCAAGACACAAGATGACAGGAAAAGCTAGAGTTGAGTATCTCTGGCTAGAAGTTCATTACTTTTGTGAATGTGAATAGTGCACAGACTCATTTTAGAATTCCAGATATCGCTGCAGATGTCAAAATGTAGGAAGTCACATTTATCTGAAGTGACTGCTTTCCAAAGAAAGGCCACCAGTACATTTTAGATTAAAAAAGTATTGTTTCACTCTTGAAAAGTGAAATGCAGAATTTCAACCATCTTAAGTATCAGAAAAATGCAAGAAGTTAGCTGTGGGCATCCTTTCGTGGATCCCCACAAGCCCTCTTCCGATGGTCTGGGAGACATCTACAAACAGTTGTAGTTGTCCAGATAACTCATTCTAATGAGGAAGTTCTACAGGAGACAAGATGGAGAGAAGAATAAAGTATCTGACAGCTCTCGTCTTAAGGGTTATTGATAACTGATCACCACTAAAAATTGAGGAAAAACATAGTAAACAATACCAAATTTCTTCTCTGTCTTCATAAGAGGAGTCATTTATTTTTTATCCATCCAAAGATAGGTAGAACTTCAAGTACCTGTGGCTTATCTGGGTCCCACGAAGACTAGACATCGTCTCTTCCAAGTTCTGCCTCAGATCTGCTATGTTCTTGACTGTGCGCATTCTTCTAGTTTCAGGGTCTTCACCTGGAAATGGGCATGAGAAATCCATTGTTCATGGTATGGTGTGTTCAAGGACGATTGTTTACACAGATGAGTGACATAAACCCCTGTACTTCAAAACAAAATGACAGGTAGAAAATTCCAGATAATCCCTATCATCTGAAAATTGTCATGCATTTTTACAATAGCAACACATTTAGTATCACCAATAAAAATCCAGAAGTCTCAAAACTACAGTAATACTCATCAGTGTATCATCATAGTCATTGTAGCATTAGTGACAATTGCAAACACAGTGTACAGTACTTTCAGCTGCTGGAGAGGATTCTAAAGTTTAAAATGATTTGGATTCTCTGACTTCAACAATGACCCCTTTTTAAAGCACACCCAGAGTATCTGAGATGCACTTCCTTATCTAGTAATACACATGAGGCAGTGGAGAATGCCGAGATATATTTTTCTCAAAGACACTTTTCTGATTGTCACACTAGAATCATGGACCAGATTCACAACACTGGATAGCTTTATTTTTAACTACCTCTATATGTTGCATAGGAAATGTCCACATGGTGACTTCACAGTTCAAGCACAGACCTAAGCATCTAAACCTAACACACATCTTTGCAATAGGCAGGAAACATGAAGTTCTAGTAGTAGTGTAATAACCACAATGATAGTGTGTTTCTGATAGTGTGGTAACCACACTGACAGAATAGATTTGATACTGTGGTTATGATAGTGTGGTAACCACACTGACAGTGTGGATCTGATAGTGTGGTAACCACACTGACAGTGTGGATATGATAGTGTGGTAACCACACTGATATTGTGGTACTGATAGTGTGGTAACCACAGGCACTCCACGTGAGCACCCATCCTTTGGGTACACAAGTGTCATTAGACAACATTCTTGGTTACATAGTACTTTCCAATCAAGTCCATTTGAAGTTGGTGAGTCTTGACAAAGGAATAACATAGAATTGGTAGCAGAAGCACAGGAGGCCAGCCATAGTATCAGGACAAGTTTGTACTCCCACCAGCAGTGGGTGGTGAGTGCTCCCTTCCCACCCCCCCCCATTCTTACCAACATGAGTTGTCATTTGTTTCCTTGATCTTAGTCATTCTGGCTGGTCTAAAAAATGAAATCTCAAAGTAGTTTTGATTTTCATTTTGCTGATAACTAAGAAGCAGAGTTGGATGGGTGGGGAGGTCAGGGGGCATCAGGGAAAATGGTGATCAGAATATATTGCATGAATTTTCAATTTACAAACACAGATGGGAAAATTTAGAGAGAAAAAAGGAAAGAACTAGAATGAACGGAGTAACAGAGAAAAATGAAGGCAAGAACTGAAAGCAACAAATGGGAGAGTGTAGAAAAAAATCAAAAGAAAAGTGGAAGGAAAAGAGAATTACATTACGAAGATCATCATGCAGACAATTTAAAATGCATCACACACATACAAACACATATATTCTGTTTTAACATTCTAGTTACCAATTCATTTTATTAATATACTTCCTTAATGTTTGAACCAAATTTCAAACATAAAGTAATGTACCCATTCCATCTCTGTAATTTCAGTTGTAGAGATGTAGGAGGGGCGGGGAGGGGGGGTCTCAGAAACCCTTCTATGGAATTGATCTGTGACCCACATGGGGCATGTGGTCCTACTTCACCTTCATCTTCAACACTGGAAAACTCTCCATCCCTCTCCTCCCAACATCAGTCAGGTCTGATGATGAAAATAATTTTGAGGAGTGAACCACAACTATTTCTTGAAAGTTCTACTGGATAGATCCAGCAGCTCTGAAAGAAACTGAACAAACACTATTCCGAGGCACCACCATAATAATAATAATAATAATAATAATAATAATAATAATAATAAACACTAATGCTTCCTTTACTGACAGTGTGGATCTGATAGTGTCTGTCTCAGGCAAACATTACTACTTTGATCACTAACCCTCAGCCTGGATGTCAGCCCTCACAACCACTCTTCTGCTGCCAGTTGGCAAACTTGTTGCCATTCACTTATAAATGATTTGTACAGTTAAATTAAACTAAACAACAGCATTGTTATTACAAATTGAGGCTGTATTAGATGGCTTCAATAAAAGGAACATATTTTAAGAAACAGAAAAGTGTAAGAAGGAACCATGAATGTGCATAAACATTCCCACATGAATTTGAACTATGCAATCTCTAATCCCAGAAACTAACCTTCTCAGAAACTAGCACTGTTTGTCAGTCCCAAGAGGCCAACCATATTCTCTCTGGGAATGGCATATTTGATTCTCATTAATATGATACAGTGTGGTTGAGAAATGGCCAGTGAGATCTTTCCTTTCCACTTCTAAGTAATGTGCTACAACTTTGGGGAATTATAAGAAAAAAAAAGGCTTGCAGAGAGAAATTTAAAAGGTAATGGAAAAATAATTACAGGCAAAGGGAAGGCAGAAGCAGCTGAGTGGGGCTAAAATGGTGATGAAAGTTAAAGATGAACATACATCGGAGACTATAGGAGGAGGGACGTGTGGCTGGAGACCCCTGAGGGAGAGCAGATGCAAAACACTGACTGAACCATACTCATGGGTTGTATTATTACATGCTGCCTGTCCCTGACCCACCTGTAGTCAGGCTGCATCCTAACTGTTTGTCAGTTACTAAAATACTGGAATTGATATTTGAATTACTTCCCATATATTTTAATAATAATTTTAAGAATAGTAACTGCATGCACATTGTGTCCCTGAATGCTTTTCATATCTATTTCCTTTTGGTAGTACAATAGGAGTGTTTGGTCCATCGATCCTTCCAGTTTGATTCTGGGCTTGTTTATGTAGTTTCTCTCAAATGTCATAATGGTAGTATTTCCCTCCCTCCCTCCCTCCCTCCTTTAATTCTATCTCAATGAGAGTCATACATGACACTATGCTACTCATGGCAATCAAGACAGGTAGATCTCTGCTCTCCAACACTTACAGACCAAACCGTCTTTGCTGCCTCATCCATTCCATGAAATTTATTGCAATAAGTAATTTCAGTGACTCACGAAAGGTGAGATAAAAACTAAGCATACTTATAATTCCCTAGGGAATAACTACACAGTCTGGAATGCCCATCACAGTGGTACTCAAATGATGTACCAAGGCTTTGTACGGGGGTGGAAAAGCTTAATAAAAGGATGCATCTAATTGTTAAGCACATAAAGAAAAGTTTTAAGAACAATACAGATATGAAATTTACTTACACACAAAAGTGTTTCATTTCTTCCCATTTACATAATTTCAAACCCAACTATTATCCCCAAGGGAGTCATCTCATCTTCGTGAATCAAGTGGTAGGGACTTCTACCCATTTTTTAAAAATGGTGTATTTTCTAATCTAGTTGAACTCTCAACATTGGCGCAAAATGCTTTCCAACAGCTTCCAGGATGGCAGGCTCATTGTGAGGCTGCTGCTTCCCTACTATTATAAAATGGAGCATTTAATTTGGGTGGTCTGCCCTTACTGTGCATGCTTTAATTATGCATATTATAATTGACATTGCCACACTGCCATCTTTTAATGGAATTCAAATTATATATGTGTGAAACCTGATTTATATAACTGGATCCTCTATACCATTCTGCACACATTATTATTGAAAGGGCATCTAATGTTGAAAAGTAACCCCAGTTTTGTGAATGACCCCATCCATGATTTTTAGCTAAAATTTTCACTTGTCTTTATAATGTTGATGTTTGGTACATTTAAAAAATATGGTTGGTGGTCATAGACTGGCATTTAAAATATTGTACTATACATTTATAGCACAGACCCTAGGTAATTCTAATTTATTAGGATACTCAAGGGTAAAAAAAGTTGAACTCATGAAACCTTGGGCAAAGCTAACTTATAAGAGGCCATTTTGAGTCATAGGCAGAAACTAGTCAAGAACATAGCAGAAATTTTACAAATTTAAAAGTCTCAGATTCTAGGGAATTTCCTTATCTTGCTTGATATGGAAGTATGATTATTCATATCAGAATTGTTTGAATATGTTCCTCCCCTTCTTATTTGCATTTTGTATGCTGACACCAGTGGATGGAAGGGGGAACCCTTATTGAGAATAAGCCTGTGAATGTGATTAGTGAGATTCCAGTTCAAATGCATGACACTTCTATTGGGAGGCTGTCACGTGACAGCAATGATCCAGGTTACTTATGCACAATAAGCAAGGTTTCATATTTATATTCAACCACATCTTGCAATAATTTAACACAGCAACCCCTAAATAACTGCCTGGGGATTATACTCTGCTCATATCATTGAAATACTAACATAAAAGGTACTTTAGAACAAGACAAATGCTATAATTTTATGAGTCAAAGATGAATATTGTTTGATTCTACAGCTCCAGAGGATCAAACAGAGATAGGAAAAAGGAGAAAAAGACATGCGGATTCAGAATTCCTCTCGTCTTTGTACTGTGCAGAGCTTTCTTTATGAGAAACAGCTCATCATCCAAACCATACAGTGCTGTGGAATACACCTCTGGCATCTGACTACCTGGAGGATTTAGATTCAGAAATCACTATTCTCAAAGTGGTGGAATCATTACTCTTTCTAAGCCAAGCTGACATGAAAAATTGAGCCATATTTGCCTCAGCTCTCTCTCTCTAAACTTTCCCATTCCAAAACTGTTCTCTAAAACATCTCAGACAACCTCATAAAACACCTTGTCACAGGACGTTCACAGAGAGAATAAAAAGAAATCTGTTCCCAGCCTAAAACACCTTGTCACAGGACGTTCACAGAGAGAATAAAAAGAAATCTGTACTTAGCACCATCTGTGTGTGTGGGGGGGGGCAAAGAGATTACTGGGCAGGGGTAATTCTTTTCAACTTTCAAAACACCATATGAAGTCCTTTCTGAAAACCCACACTGACATAAAATAGGATGTCTTCTGTGGCTGCATGCTTAGAGATTTTTGAGGAGACTATAGGATGTAAATATATGTCAGTGGGAAACTGCATGT